TTTTTCCAAAGGGGCCCATGTTTTCTTGCTTGAAACATGTTTCTAATAGGACCCACGACCCCTGAGCTCATTCACCTCTTATTTTATTATTTTTATCATTTATTTTGATTTTTTATTCATTTAAATCAAAATAAATCAAATTAAATGGTAAAATAATGAAAACAAATAAAATCTTGAGATTATTATGCATATTCTGAGTCCATGTATAGCTAGTATGCCAGCCAAGTCGTGCAAGTTTCATTAGGGTTGAAAAAGATTGGATTGAAGAAAGGTTTGGAAAGAAATCATACATGAAGCAAATCAAATCCAATTTTCATAATTCTCAAAATTTGATACAAATTTGTTGACCTAATTCAGTCTACTATAAGTGCATAATAATTCCAGATCAAAAAAAAGGATTGGAGGCGTGAAAGATCAAGAACAAAATTGAAATTTTGGACAAAAAGTGTGAGATTGAAGTCCATCTTAGAGCCATCCTCAAGGAGTTTCAAGGCTAGCAATACATTCCTGGACATCTCAAGAAGCTTCTCCATTCATTTGCAAGCCTCAAAGTGTTAAGAATCGCGCGTTACAACATCACGGGTTTAAGAGCTCGATTTGGGGATTTCTAATACAGGGAAAGTTGGACCATGAATGGGGTACCATGACACTCGTGAGACCAAGACGAGTTGATTGGTACCATCACAATTGATTTATCATGCTTGTATGGAATTTTTGAATAACACATGTTTTTAGCAACAGACTTGCGTTTGTAGGTAAAGGTTTAGAAATCTAAAACGACAGTTCCAGGGAAGAATACAATGCGTGTCAGCTAACCATTCGTCTGTTTGAATTTCGTACATTTGGAATCAGCTTCTTTTATTTTCCTTATATTATGTTTTGTTTTTATTATATTAACAAGTTAACATCCAACACAGTTGGTCAGAGGAAGGAAGTCAGAAGCTTATGTCCTGGATACGATCCCAGGCGTGAGCTTTTGGCATTTTCTCCATTATTTTCACCAGATCCAGCACACCTTACCTTCTGAGGATCATCAAGCGCCCTCTGATCTCATCCTCTGGATCCATATCTAGCCAGATCCAGCACACACCTTCTAAGTATCATCACGCGCCCTCTGATCTCATCCTCTGGATCCATCTCCAGCACGATCCAGCAAACCTCACCTTCTGAGGATCATCACACGCTCTCTGATCTCATCCTCTAGAACCATCTCCAGCCAGATCCAACGCCAGCATACGCAGGTCCACCATGAGTCCCCAGAAGTTCAACATACACCCTCCAATTGCTTAAACAGACCCTTTTCTCATCTTTTAATTTTAATTCTTTTTTTAATTATTTTATAATTATTACTTTAGTGATTGTACGTGTCCCTTTCGAATGTCCCTTACAAACTCCAACGACGGTGCTACCTACTCCTTAATAGTGGGATAGCGCTGTCTATAGGAAATAGAACAGAAACGATCTTCTTTCGAGTATGTAGATGCTAGTAGGTACTTTCTCAAGAAAAACTTTTCACACTAACACTTTTCAAAAAAACAGTTTTTTAAAACAACTTCGCCACACTCTTGAGGACTAATACAAAGGTTACCACGAAGTAAAATATTTTCAAAGCAAGCACACACAGAAGCAATTTTAAAAAGATGAGCAAGTACCTAAGAGCCCATGGAAAACAATGGATGAAAAGGATGCTAACACTTTCCCTTTCTATAATCTACCCCCCGTACTCAGAAACATCTCGAAAAAAGGTTTTTTCTGTTCTTTTTCCTTTTCCATGATTGGATGAAATAAAAGTCGGTGGCGACTCTTGCTTACCGCGACATTTTGCGAACACAAAATACAAAACACAAACCAGTATTAACAGTCGGTTCTGCCACCGTATCATACAAACAAAATAATAAAATAATATTTAATTAAATAATATTTAAATAGTCAATAAAAGGGAAATAATTGGTAAAATAAACAAAATGTGTAAAAACACTAAACAAAAATCCTAACAAAATATCAGAGGTCAAACATGACTCAATAAGTGTTGACAAAAAATTTCAGAATTATTTAAATTCATAAACTATTTTAAAATTTTAAAGAAATAAAAAAAAAATAAACCAAAATTTGTGAAAAAAATAGTAAAATAAAAAATAAATAAAAAATGAGGTCACCAATATTTGTCAAGAGGTCATTGGATCCTTCCATATTTTTTTAAGAATTTAAAAATCAAGAAAAGTATTTTTAAACAATTAAAACAAATCAAATAAAGTAAAAAAATCATAAAAAATAATAAAATTGTGAAAAAATAAAAATCAGAAAGAGAAAAATCAAAAGTATTTTTGAGAATTTTTTCCGAATTTTAGAAGTTGGAATCGATTTTTTATGAATATTTAAAGTTTAAAACAATAAAAAATATAAAATCGAAAAATAAAAATAAAGCCAAAAAAATATAGATCATTGGATCAATGTCAAAACGCATTATTAATCAAATTCAAGGGATCTGGTGCGCTATGCATATCATGGTCATTAGTGAATAACACACTGGATCAATTATTTTAAAAAACATATTTGAAAAACACATGGCAATTTCTCATTGGTTGAAGATGCCATCGTGGTCGTCTTCAACCTCTCGCCAACCTCAAAACCAAGATCCTCAAACTGTAAAATTAGAGGTTTAGACCAATGTCAATCGCTTCGTCTCATCAAGACAAAGACAATTGTACCCTCGCGGAAAATTTATATAAAGCTCAACTCAGTTGATTTGAGAAAAACCAGAAGAAAAAAGTTGGAAAGGGATTTGAAAATTCATTATCAAAACTCACTTCCAATTAAGAATTAATGATGCAATCAGTATCAGAGTGATGAGAGCTACATTTGTAGCAACAAGTTTGAAGAGAATCGATGGAGGAATCTACCTGTTGAAGCTTAACTTTAGAGCTCTGAAACTTGACTTTGCTAGCACGATTTAGGGCACTTCAAGGTTTGGTTCTTCTTCTGTTAGCTTCAGTGAAGTTCAAGGATGAAAAATCCGCAAAGAAATTGGATTGAAAAATGCTTTAAAACTAAATTTAAAGTTACAGAATTGAGATGTATGAAGGAAGTTCAACAGAGGTTTTTTTGGCTCTCTAAAGTTTGCCGAATGAGTGGGATATTTTTCTTTATTTATAGGGAAGAGAATAGAATCAAGAGGATGGGTGGATGATGTAATTTGAGTTGAAATCGTGCACACCCGCATCATGAGTAAAGTGTGACTTACAAGTTATCAAAACTCAACCATTCCTTGCGTATTGATGTGCTAAACCTTTAAGGCAACTTAGTTAATCATGTTTAAACATCAAAGGCGTGACAAAATTGTGTTTAGAAGTCACACTAATCAATTTGAAATTTGACTGTAAATGAAACTTTAGCTCCAAGGTACCAACTTTGAATCCATGGTGCACATATCTCAAGAGGCTTTAGGGAAAAATTCTTGAAGCATTTGAAATTCAATATCCCAATATATACAATGTGCCAAGAAAGACTCCATTTGGATAATTGAGCTGAAAGTTATGGCCAATTGAATTTGTGAAAAACACACGGATCTTTTGTACTTAGAAAAATTCTAAGTTTTGAACTTTAAAATGACCTATAATATTCTTCAAAATTACATGACCTTCCACTCAAAATTTGATCTTGATTTCTGAAGATGACATGAAGTAGACCTCTTGAATTGTATTGTAGAATTGAGATCACTCAAAAATCATAAAAATTGAAAGAGTTATGGTCTTTGAAAGATGATGAACAAATTTGGGAAAATTCATAAAAGACCTATAATCTTTTCAACTCTTCAATAATTTTCCAAGCATCTTTAAATCTTGCACATAAAAACAAAGTTTTAGTAGACATCTCAAAGATTATTGTGGAAAAATAATGGGCTCAAGGAGATAAAAATTGACCAAGGTATAACTATTTGAAGTCAAACCCTAAAATTCAAAGGCTTTCCAAAGAGAATTGTAATCTTTCTCAACTGTTAGTGATCCTCCATTCAAAATTTGCCTTAGGTTTCTGAAGAGAGCTTGTTAATGACACTTTAGAGAGAATCATGGGTTTGTAATCAATCCAAAATCTCAAAAAAATGAGCAAGATATGGTCCTGAGAATTCAACAAACCCTAGCTCAGAGAATGTCAAAATGACTTGAAACCCTTTTCACTTTTTGATGATTTTTCATGCACAATTGGATCTTTTCATGTGAAGAGAGGTTATTATAGATGATGATAAGAATCCATATAAAAAATAACCAACTCAAAATATTGAAAATTGTGAGAGTTATGTACTTGTGATCACTGAATCAAGCATTTGCTCAATTAGGTCAAATTTATTGAACCAACCTTGAATCTTTTGACCTTTCTTGGCAAAATAAAGCATGATGAATCATAATAGGCCTTTTAATGATGTTATATTGAAGCACACTCAAATATGGAGCTTGAATCTAAATTAAACTTGTTGAAGAAGGCATGGAAATAAACACATGAACTTATGAATCTTCTTGATGAATTCCACCACTAACTTTGAGGAGAATTTGGCCTAAATAAATTGAGGGATACCTTTGAACCACAAATCTTTGATATCATAGACATAGCTTTGAAGCTTCAGCTCTTACAATCCCTTGAAGAATCATTTGATTGATAACCAACCCTCAAACCCCAAATCAGATGGTGACATGAATGCAATTGTGATCACCTACAATATGAATATTCAAAGAAACATATATACATATTTTGATGTTAGTTAAAAGAACACGTGCTCAAGATACATAATTTAAGGTGCTTGGTGATCCCTCAAGAAAAAACTTAAAGATAGAATAAAGTAGATAGAAAGAACCAACCCTAGTGTGTGATCTTGATGTTTTGATCATATGAGATGATGAGGGATCTTAGGGGCAAAAATTGGGGTATAACACAGTAGTTTTTGCGTGTGGATGGAGGAGGCGATCTCGTGGTGAGGTGCGGCTGAGAGGAAGAGCAGAAATCAAGCATCAGGGAAACAGGGACGATGCAGTCGTGATTTGACGGTGACCGCGTGAGATTTGGACTGCAGTTGGAGGATGTCTGGCGATGGCCAGAGCAATATGTGTATAGGTCGAAGGAAGTCTCGCAGTTCTGATTTGGGAGGCGTCCCGTGTTGCTTCACAATTCGACATCATTCTTTTATCTTTTATTTCTTTAACAGTGACCTGCAAACAAAACCAAAAGACAACGTAAGAAAAAAGCTACATAGTTAACGCGATGAAGGTGATTTACAGGTGGCTGTTGGAGATTCTCGGCAGAGTCAGAAGCCGTAGCAGATCTACAAGGAGTCTAGGGGCGACGTGCATCTAATCTCAACATCTTCCTGCTTTTTCCTATTCACTTCTTTGAATTTATATTTCTTTACTTCTCCTGGTTGTGTTGTCTTGTGCAGGTTATGGATTAGGATTGTTGTCGGTGATTGAAATCATGTTATCACAGATGGTTTGATGTTAATGGCTATCATATAGATTTATGAATGTCATGATGAATTTAAATGTAATGAATTTGTGCCTGTCTTACGTTTATGCAGGATTAAAATAAAGTACAAATTTGTGAGATTTATGATATAGTGTGATTTAATAGCCATGATAATAAAGAAGATTTTTTATCTGTGAATCAAATGTTGCATTATAGAGAAAAAAAGTTTAACAATCAATTCACAAAAAGTAAATTAGATTGGTATTTTAAAATAAATAAATATATCTCATACAGAACACTTATTTATTGGTTATTTTGTAATCTCTATACAATATGTACCGTGGAATTTTAGTAGGTTAGAGTTGTGTTATGAAACTTATATGAATCGTTACCGTAAAAAAGGTTCTAAGGCAACTTAAAAAAGCAAAGTGATTTTTTTAGGGGAGCATTGGTGTGTGTAAAAGTGAGTAATTCTCTTTGGTGGAAATATGGACCGTAAAATATATACAGTAGGATAGTAATTGTTAGTGTGTACAAGAGTGTGTGTGAATCCTAATGCACATGTAAATCCTAATGCACATGTAAATCCTAATGTTAGTGTAAAATTGAAATCATCAATTTAATATCATATAGTAAAAACAACAAATAAATTTAAAAGGATGAAATTGAAAATAAAAAGGTGGTCTCATATTTTAATAATTGATTAAAAATAAAATCACAAATAACACCAATAGTTTTGAAGAGAAATTTTAAAAAGAAATTATAAAAATGAAGTGTCTGCGAGTGAGTGAAATTGTGAAAGTTATGGATATTGTGGATGATCAAAAGTGTCGAAAAATGGACTCTATTTATAGATATAAAAATTAAGTTAAAACACCAAAAAAAGAAAATAAATCGAATAAAATAATATCAATATAGAGGCCCAAATTATTTGATTCTCTCTTGATCAACAAATTTAAAAATTTGGACCTATTTGTGACTCTATGCAAGATAATATTTGAAAAAGATTTAATCTGAAAAGGATTTTATTTATTTTTAGAATTTTAGACTATTTTTTTAATAAAATAATGATTTTAATAAAAAAATAATATATTTAAAATATAATAAATAAAGAAAAAAGAAAATAGTAATTAAATAATAAAAATTGTGATTTTTGTGATTCTGAAAATGAAAATAAAGTTAATAAAAAATGAAAGGGAAAATGTTTTAAAAAAAATAGAATCAGTAAGACTCAAACCCATGACCTTATGTTTGCAAGCCTTATCTCCTTACCAATTGTGATGTTTCATTTATTCAAGATAAAAAGGTGCTTGAAAACATATGAAGGGTAGGAAATATTTGATATTTAAAAATACAAATAATTTAAAGTAAACTATCATATATTTTTAAATAAGCAAAATAAACTAAAAATATATATAAAACTCAAAATATTAGTGTAAGTAAACCAAAGAAATTTATAAAAAAACCAATTTTGAAAACCATTCGACTGTAGATTGAAGAGTGCGAGAATACGAAGTTCTCATACATTCGGATCAGAGAGTTATTAAATAATGGAAGACCCTAAAATTTGACCAAATACTCTTTTTTTGGAAACTTTTGAAAAATAGTTTGAAAAATAAAGCAAGTAAAATGTAAAAAAGGCAAGGATGACGCAGATAACTCATTAATTCCTGGGAAAAGAAATTGCAGATAACCCAGATATGACGATGCAGATAACTCGTACATATCATAGGTAACCAAGAGAAGAAGACGCAGATAACTCGTCAACACTAGGGAAAAGTAATCGTAGATAACCTAGATATTTTTATGACGCAGATAACTCGTCAACGCCTGGAGCGTGGATTAACACATATATCTTTGTCAAGGGACTAAATTGATAAATATAAAAAAGGACGCCATCGTAGATTTTGCATTTCTACCATAACCTAGGGGGTAAACAATGTGGGTATTAACTCAACCTTTGCCAATAGACTAAACCAATAGAGTTGAAAAGGTTTGAAAATAACTTGCTAAAGCTCCGAGACTAACATAGTAAGTTGTATCACAAATTTTGCATATTTATCACAACCTAGGGGATAAATAATGCGGTATCGATCTTATCTTTGACAAGGGACTAAACCAATAAGATCAAAAATTTTGTAAAAATAACTTATCATTGCTCAGGGGCCCATATCAATAGTTATATTTGCGATTTGCACATCTACTACAACCTAGGGGATAAATAATATGAGTATCAACTTTTCCTTTTCCAAGGGACTAAACCAATAGAGTTGATAAGGTTTTGAAAAACAACTTGCTATCGCTTCAGGACTAACATACTAAGGTGTATCCTAAATTTTTCATATTTATCACAACCTAGGAGATAAATAGTATGAGCTTGAAATTTGATACTGGAATTGAAATTTGATAATTGAAAATTGAAATTTGATATGTGAGACCTTAATAACTAGGCCATGGATATGAATCGTAGATATACTGCCTAGCGTAATTTTGGTTGTAGTACCTTTAAATGTTATGTTTGTTTCTAATTAAGGTATATGTTGCTAATAGTGTAAAAAATGAGTAGTGCTAAGATTTGAATTTTTTATTTGTGCAGATGACTTAGCTGGATAATAGGCTTGCGATTTTTCAAAGTATTCATAGGCCTTTATGATTTGAATGTGATCCATGCTTAATATATACCATGTTTAATGATAATGCTTTTTCATATGATTTTCCTATGTCAGATGCACCAAATGTTATGAGTGATCTTGATACTTTGATATGGTTATGCTTGATGTATTTGTTAATGCATGATATGTTTTTGTAATGTATGCTTGTTTTGATCATGATAATGAACGATGATGAATTATGCAATAAATAATCAATTCAATGCACATGTTATTTGAAGTCGAATTGCTCAGTTCAAGGTAGGCTACCTGAAGGGAATTGGATTTCGAAATGATTTTGGAAACAAACATCAGTAGGGTTACCAGATGAAAAATATAGTAAGACCATTAGCATCAGTAGGGCTACCAGAAAGCAATCAAGATAGTAAGGTTACTAATATTGGTAGGGTTATCGGGAGACTTCAATCAGATGAATGGTAAAATGAACCAACGGTAAGGTTACAAGCATCAGTAAGGTTACCGGGAGACGTCAATCAGCTGATTAGGAAAATGAACTAACAATAAGGTTACTAGCATCGGTAGGGTTACTTGTAAAAATCAATAAGCTGATTGGAAAAATGAACAACAGTAAGGTTACAGGCATCGATAGGGTTACCAGGAAACATCAATCAGGTGATTAGAAAAATGGACAACAATAAGGTTATTGGCATCAGTACAGTTACCGGAAAACATCAATCAGGTGATTGGAAAAATGAACAGCAGTAAGGTTATTGGCATCAATAAGGTACTGGGCGACATCAAACAGGTGATTGGATTAGGGATTTATGAGAGGCTGTATGAATGAGGTGATTATTTGACATGCATTTTGATTGACGTGTGAAATATAATGACTGATCAATGCATGTGATGAGTGACTTAGGTATGTAACAATGGATGTTGGACTTTGAAATGCAAATGAATAATTGAGTCTGTGGGGTAGTTTCCAAGTGAGATTGAGTTTTTGAGATTGGTTTTATGTTGATGGAATATGTTAGTTGGATGAGATGATATGCATGGATTGACACTATAGCGCATTGAATCAATGAATTCGTGACAATGATTTAGATGTTGACTTAAATACTTTTAATTGGTGCCCCTATGATGGGTTGTGGATCATTCAGACTTGGATGGGTTGCTAATGTAACAAGGTTTCTTGTCACACGATGGTAGGGTGTTACGCAAGCGTGACTTCCTGACACTTGTTTTGAACTCGAAGATTATTGATGTAGGAGAGAGCTTCACCGGGGATCATGAAAGTTGGAGGAGAGTTTGCCTCTTCGTAGCCTGTCGTGCCCCAGTCTATTTGTAGGGTCTTTGAAAGAGTTTCTTGAGGAAGAACTTGGATGACAGTGTTGTGATATGAACTTGATAAGAACTATCAGTAACATATGATTCTTGAAAGGTATGCCCCTGATTAACTTGTTCTTGAAGGAGTGACCCATGTTGACCGAATCTTAGAATGATTTCCCCTAGTCAGTAGGTGATCGATAAATTAGCAAGTGTATTATTTTTCCTCTGCAATAATAATAGGGTAATTCCCCGAATATCGATCATGAGGACTGTGTATAAGTATCTAGTTTAATGTGTAGTTCAATTAAACAAAAACTTAACTTTTGGTTTGGTTTGGAATTTTATCCTCAACAATAATTAAAATAAGAAAAATGTAAAATTTGACTTTTTCACAAGTATGAGCAGATGCTAGGGTAAGGTGTGTGAATTGCACTGTAATAATCTTGACTCTTAATTTCTTCTACAAGTTTATAACCTTCAATTATCGGATCTTTAGTATGTTTTCCCCTAAGTCCTTAGTGGGATAACCTTTGGCCATTCATCTAATACCTAGGTTCGTAGAGAATTATGATGAAACCAAGCAATTTATTTTATCAAGATTTTACCGGTAACTATAGGGTATCGCTAGTCCTAGGTGATATCTACTATAGTTTAATCGTACTAAAACCTTAACAATGACGACTCATCCCTAATTGTTAACAGTAAATCAATCCTAATTGGTACGATCAGAAAAATCTTAAACCCATTGAATGATTAAATTGAAAAGAAACTATTGTATTAAAATCAATAATTCAAAACCATTACAATTACAAAACAGGGACACCCCCTATCATTGGGGGGTTTAACTACTCAGAATATTGTTAAAAAAATTTATAAATACAATAAAGATAGACATTACAAATTGATTATGGACTTTGATTTCAATTTCTTCCGCTCATGAAAGTCTTTGATTCCAAAAATTGCTTAAAACTTCAATCTTCAGTCGTCTGAATTCTTTGTCTACAAAAAGGGTCCCTAATTCCTCTTCAAAACTTGACTAAATAGTGAACAATTCATTTGTGTCTGTCGAAAAAGCCCAAAATACTCCTCCGAGTCACAAGTAATGAAAAATCATGAAAATACTCAAAGTTAGCATCACTGGCCAACACGGCCTGTGTCAGGTGACATGACCGCCCGTCTTGACCATCTGGAATTATATTTTCTTTTTCAAGTCCCAGTCATGCTGACACAGGCTGTGTTAGGAGACACGGCCCCCCGTGTCAAGTAACATGGCCGCCCGTGTCAGCCCCCTAGCTTCCCACTATTGCACAACTCTCATCCTGACACGATCTGTGTCAGGTGATACGGGTGGTTGTGTCATGTCTTTTATAACTTCGTTTTGTGACTTTCTCCGAAACTCCAAATTTGCACTTTTTCGCATCAGTTTGTCTCGATTTATTCCTCTGAGCCTATAAACAGAAAAATGCATAACCAACACATAAAATATATAACAAGACAGGAAAAATCTAGAAAATATAAAGAAACTATAACTAAAATCAATGGTAAATAATTGTGTAAAAACTACTAGTCAAACTCCCCCAAACTTGAACTGTTACTTGTCCTCAAGCAACGAAAATAAGAGCTCATGAACTTCACAGCATGTTGTTGTACGCCAAAATTTTCCCTCTTAAATTCAACCCTAATTGGCTTATACTTCATCATCATATTCATAAATATAAGTCATAGGGTCTATACTCATGGAATCAAAGCATGTCTCTGCGAGAAAGAGCTATAAAATACAATTGTTCCATTAAGCAGCACTATGAAGCAGAACTCAGGGTTTTCCGTATTGAATGTATATCGCATGTGTTCCAAGCTATTCAATTAGAAATCAATCAAGTCATCATTATACCAAGCTCTTATGTGTTTTGGCACGCTTTGAATTGTAGAGAAAGTCAAGCGTTTTAGTTAATTTGAGATTGTGCAGGCTGAAATTCAATATCTTGTGGTTCGAGTTCAAAAATTCATAACTTGAGACTGGAAATGGTTGGAGAATGGTTCTTCAATATTTGTAACCGTACTGAGATCTTTTTCAATTCATCTTTTCAGGTCGAAGGTTAGTTTTGCAAGGAAGAGCTTCAAAAGCACAAAATACCTGAAGTCATGTTATAAAGTGGATTTGCTGGTCAATTGTTTTTTTGAATGTTCAAAAATTCGTAACTTCTGACTGAAAGATCATCTTTGATTGTCTATTGGATATTTTGAACCATTCTGGTATTTTCTTTAATTCATATGTCTGTTCCGGATGCTGATTCGGTGAAGAAGACTTCCAAAAATACAAATTACTTGAGACTTATACCTTGAAACAGTGTGTTGAACCACTGTTTATCGAATATTCAAAAATTCATAGTTTTCACCCGGTTCGAAGTTTTTGAATGGTTCTTTGGGTACAAAATATGTGTTAATGTTTCCCTCACTTTGTATGTTCGGGTAAGAAGTAAATTCTTTGAGGAAGGTCTCTGAAATTGCAAAAATTTAGTGAAAATTGCATGCTTAAGTAGATTTCCGGTCAACTATGGAGAAATATTGGAAAAATCATAACTTTCTCAATTTTCATCGTATTAAGATGATTCTTTCGGCATGGAGTCACAAATTGTGTTATTTACAAGTTTTCTTCAGGGCCCAAGTTTGGATTGTGCTTGGAAGACTTTGGTTTATGGCTTGTTTTCAAAGTCGTAAACTGAAATAAGCTGAAAAATCTTCACAGTGGGTTTTCTGTCTCAAGTATCTCGCTGTTTCAAAATTCATAACTTTCTAGAATTTTATCTATCGGGGTGATTCTTTTGGCACAATGTTACAAATTTTGTCATCGACATTTTTGTTTCAGGTTGCACGTCAAAATTATGCACCAGAAGTGATGACCTTGTGGGTTTTCTTGGACTGCACACAAAAATAAGCTAAAAAATATGCATAGAGAGTTTTTTGTCAATCGTTTCTCGCCATTCAAAGAATCATAACTCACTCAATTTTTATCGTATCGGGACGATTCTTTTGACACTGCGTCACAAATTTTGTCATCGATGTTTTTGTTTCAGGTCGTGCGTCAGGATTATGCACCGAATGTCTTTAGTTTTTGTATGTTCTCGAGCCATGCACCAGAATAAGTCGAAAATTATGCATTTGTCAAAAATACACAAGCCAAACAAGACTTGGAGCCATTTCTATGTATTTTCAAAATTCAAATTAGATATAACTTTTAACTCATTCTAGAAAAGTCACATTGAAAATTCTCTTATCTCTCTCAAGTTTCTCTCCATTCTCTCAAGAAAGAACACAAAAACTCAAGAGAAGGTATCTCATCCTCCCATCCATTTTTTCGACGCCACTCTCCTTCCACCTTTAGCCTTACCGCGCCGGTCTAATTCGGCCAGCCTCCGACCGCCGCGCTCCCTCCGTATCTGATAGCTCCCTCTGTTGTGTTATTTCATCCGTCAGAACTCCCTCGATCTCAAATCTCTCCCTTCGATTTCGACCAAGCGCGATACTCCCTCCTTGCTCCGATCAATTTTCTCATTGCTCCGATCTTGATTATTTGCATCAATTCAATAATTCTTGAAACTTAATTGATTTAAGTAATTATTGAGATAATTGATTTTATGAATTGAATTGATTTGAATATAATTTCCATGAATTGATTTTGAATTATGAAATAAGTGCTTATTTGATTTAAATGTGAATTGAACCTTAATTTTATGGAATTAAGTGATTATTGAGATTATTGATCATGAATAAGCCTTTGATTAGCATCTGATTATTTTCTAGCCCATCACCAAGACCAACAGAAATATCTTCAAAAAGCCTCTGATTACAATATCCTTCCTGATTCCTCCTAGGGTTTTCCACAAGATCCCTAAACTCATCTTGTCTCATGTTAACATTAGTGATGACCTCCATGAATTGTGTCATCTGGTTAGCCATTTGGGCCCTTATTTCGGTAAATTCAACTTGAACTTGTTCCACCTGTCTTGGTAGATTGTTCCTGGTAGGATAACGATGAGTAGTCGTCTTGAACTCTTATAAGAAAAAGAGAATCAAGATATAATAATATCGTCCTGAAAACATGTAATGTATGGGGTGTGTGATACGGTGGGAGAACTGACTTGGTTGTTCTGTGTTTGTATTCACAAATGTTGCGGTTAGCAAGACTCGCCACCGACTTTTCTTTTATCTAAAAGGAAAGGCTGAAAAGAACAGGAAAGACCTTTAGAGATGTTTTCTTGAGTTCGGAGGGTAGATTATGAAAAGGGAAGGTATTAGCACCCTTTTCATCCATGGTTTTCCATGGGCTCTTAGTTGCTTTCTAGATCACTTTCTTTTATTTGAATGTGTGCTTGTTGTGTGGGTTTTGAAAGTATTTTTAAAAT